AAAAAATGTAGCAAACCTAACCAATATTCCTTATAGGTGGTTTCATGAATCCGCAAGATGGTTGGCCTTAAAGAATAAGCCTGATCAGGCGATCAAGGGACTTAAAAGTGTGGCTAAGTTTAACGGACGGTGTGATGAGGGAGAAAAAATTGACATTAAGGTAAGGGAATATTTAAACTGTGGGACATAAATCTGTGTTTCACATAAACAGACTGTATATTAACAATGTTTTCTCTTTGTGCACAGATGCTCCAGGAGTCCATGAAGAATGAGATGTCCATGTCAAAGGGCTCCTACACTGCCTTGGATCTGTTCCGCACACCCTACATGAGGATTAGCACAGTCTGTCTGGCAGCTGCCTGGTGTGTGTGTGCTGCTCTTGTAGAAACACTCAGTGACAGATTTACAGCACCTTCTGTGAAACTGCAATGACACCCAGTGTATTTTTATATTTAGGTTATCAACCAGCTTTGCCTACTACGGCCTTTCCATGGATCTGCAAAAGTTTGGAGTGGATATTTACCTGATACAAGTGATCTTTGGAGTTGTTGACATACCAGCTAAAATCATCATCACTGTGACTATGAGTTATATAGGGCGCCGGCCATCGCAGTCTGGTGCTCTCGTCATCGCTGGGGTCACTATCTTGATCAACCTGCTGGTACCTTATGGTATGTCAGAACACAGACATGTGCACAAGATAAGGCTGAGGAGAAACAAGTGAGTGACCTGATGGATGTTCCACTTTTTTGCAGATCAACAAACTCTGCGGACCTCTCTGGCAGTTGTGGGTAAAGGTTGTCTTGCTGCATCTTTCAACTGCTGTTACCTTTACACTGGAGAACTGTACCCAACCATTATTCGGTAAGTCTCATTTGGCAAAACCATAAAACTATCAGTAAGGAATCTAGATTTGTGAAGACTTTGGTTTAACAATGAAATCTAGGTTTCGCTGAAGAGCAACAACTAAGGATAATCGCTAATCCAGGGGTGGCTGCTTTTTTGTTGTTTATACAGTAGTAGATTTACAAATTCTGTGAACTGGAAAATCTATTGGTAACACTTTATAATATGAACTGCAAATTGCAGGCAAGTACCCTGTACTTACGTGCATTTTGAGGGCAACAAGTCAGGTTTTTGCAAAAAATAATGAACAAGTACACTGTAAGTACCCTGTACTTGCATGCAATTTGCGGGCAACAATGCGCAAGTACCCTG